GATGTGTAAGCCATGAACGAACTCGACCTTCGAGGAACTGGCAGTCTAGCTGGGAAGATGGAACCGTGGGCAACAGTGGTGCTAAACCTCCATGTAGTAGAAGAGAGGGCAGAGCGTTCAGAAAGGACATGGAACTTGGGTATCAGGAGAACTTGGCCTGCAGATTGCCTCAGTATGACCCTAAACCAGTGCTCTCCAACCCCAGTGTGCTGTGAATTTCCAGGGCGCCTTGTTCAAATGCAAGATCCTGTGGGGGCTGGTGCCGTCCGTGAGAAGACGGGGCTTCTCAGGATTTCCAGACTTCCCTCTCACCACTTCCTCAGTGTCTACCTGACACCTTTCAACTCCCTCAAGGACAGTCCCCCGTAGTCCATTTACTGATGGCCCAAACCAGGGTGCATTGCTCTGCTGTTTTACCCTCACTTGGACAGATGGGGAGGTTGATGTTTTTTAATGATTTCCTGGGACATTTAGGCACCCAGGAACTAACCCAAATAGACAATAGATGGATTTATAAACTAGAAGTTAATATAATTTGAGAGGAAGATAACTCTGCAGTTGATGCTCTGCTGTTCCCCTCACCAAGGTGTTACTAAATGTACATGGAATCAGAACAGAAGGCCTTGGGGGTGGGGTGGGGTGGTCTTAGAGATCGTCCTGGGCTGGATTAGAATTTAGCTTTGACAACATCTTTCATGACAGAAGCCATGAGGCTGCCTTTTCTGCTTGTCAGGACAACTAAAATGAGCCCAGTTTCCTCCATGCTTAAGATCCAGGGAAGCTATTGCCATCCTAGTCAGGAGGCTCCCTGCTGCCATCATTTATGAGCTACCGATTAAGGGGACTCTGAATGAGCCTCTGGTCATTACCCTGAGTAATAACCACGTGGTTGCCGTTCATCTCCCTCCAGTCACGTTCCCTCCCTCCAGCTTACTTCGGGTCCTGGCTTCGACTGTGGGCAATCCTTAGCAATAATACAAGACTTGGGTGCCATTGCCTGAGCTGATCTGGCCTAAATGGGAGCACTTTGGCACCAGTTTAATGATGCATGGTTAAGGGTTAGAGGGCTGCTAAGAAAAAACAAAAGGAGCCCTTGCTCCAGTATTTATGCTCTTGTCCCAACTGAGGCTTTTGGAAAAGTTGACAAGATGAGTGTGAGAGCTCCTTTGCTCAGAGCTCCGCTAATACCCGTGTGTCTCAGGACCTGAAAAATGGGGATTGCCTCAACCCGGTTTTTCCCAGAAGCCCTGTGGTTTCAGTGTGCAAGTTCTGTAGAACATGAGGTTCAGTCAGAGATAATAGCTTCTGTCATGTTCTAGTAGAAACCTGTACGAGCGGCACGGTCACAGCAACACTCAAACTGTATTTCTGTGGAACTACATTAAGATGTTGATTTGAATATTAATAGCTTTGTAATATTGGTGAAGGGTAGTTGCAAGAAAGGCAGGCTGGGGCAAGGTGCCCCCCCCACCCCCGCAAGAAGAAAGCACCCTTAGAAGGATTTTACACCACCCTGGAAGGGGCCCTCCACCCTTTCCCACGTGACAGATGACAAAACCTGATTGAATGACAGGCACAGGGAGGGTTAATCAGATTAAAACAGCCCTCCCACAAAGCCCATAAAAACCCCTAGACTTGGAGAAGTGGATGGCAACCCTCTGGGATCCCCTCCCTCTTCGGGAGCTTTGTACTATCACTTTATCACTCAATAAACTTTGTTCTGTTGCCCACCACTCTTGATCTTGTCTACCTCTTCATTCTTTGGAGTGGCGTGATCAAGAACCGGGGCACCGAAGAAGGAAATCCTGTAACAGCCTTTGTAATTAGTAGGTTTTGAGATTCTAAGAACTATAAATTTAGGAAATGTATGTAGTTATATCTATATCTATATATTTACATATGTAGATATTTAACATAATTTAAATGCTACAGTAGGGGGTGCCTGGGTGGCTCAGTAGGTTAAGCATCTGCTTTAAGCTCAGGTCATGATCCCAGGGTCCTGGGATCAAGTCCCGTGTCAGGCTCCCTGCTCAGTGGGGAGTTTGCTTGTCCCTCTGCCCCTCCCCCCCCAAATAAAATCTTTAAATGCCACAATAGGAATCTACAAGAATGTCATTGAGGGCGCCTGGGTGGCTCAGTTGGTTGAGCGACTGCCTTCGGCTCAGGTCATGATCCTGGAGTCCCTGGATTGAGTCCCGCATCGGGCTCCCTGCTCGGCGGGGAGTCTGCTTCTCCCTCTGACCCTCCCCCCTCTCATGTGCTCTCTCTCATTCTCTCTCTCTCAAATAAATAAAATCTTTAAAAAAAAAAAAAAAAAGAATGTCATTGAAAGGGACAACCAAGTTTGAGAAACACTACTATTTGATTGCCATCTCTGTAATCTCCCTTAGCTGCCAACACCCTTTAATCCTGTCCTGTTCCATATACTTTTGTGAAAAGGTGAGGTTAGGCAATTTGTCAGTTAGCTATTGCCACGATAATGCTGCATAACAAACCACTCCGAAACTCAGGCTGTTAAGTGACAACCACCATTTATTCTCACAGCTGGCTCGGCTTTTCATTGCAGGTCTATGCGTTAACTAGGGTGGCTGAGCTTTGCATATCATTCTTGGGCAAGTCAGTTAAATGGGCAATGGCACAGGGAGGAAACGCTAGAGGCTTCTTAAGACCTACCTTCAAAACTGACTCACTGTTACATCTGCCTACTTGTCATTAACCCAAGCAAGCCACCTGGCCAAGTCCAAAGCCAAAGGATGGGCAAATAATACTCCTTACACCTTGAGGCTATTGCAAGGATACGGTTGTTAGGAGGAATGATGAATTGGGGCCAATCATTTAGTCTACCATGGTCTGTGACTGGTTGGGAGATCTTTGTCCTGTTTTTGCAAATAAGCCCTGAGCAGTTATATTGAACAACGTGTGTGCTGAAATAACTTTATGGTTCTAGATAAGCTAGGTGAGATGACACACCCAGATTAAAGGGACAAAGGTAACGCATAAGCCTGACTAGGAAGAATAACTTCTATCAATGGGAATTTAAGAACAGCATTGTGCTAGGAACTGAAGCAAAACCCCTTTATCCTTGCATCCTAGTAATTCAAAACCTATTAGATTTTAGGTGAATATACTATTCATCATACTGTGAATACATATGTCAACAAAGACACTAGTTTATAATAGTATGCAAAGGTACTTTATTCTTGGTGTTTAAAAATATGCATTATTTTCATTACTGTTGTGCTGGTTTCTATTTTATATCACAAAGTCCTCAGTGACAGGAATTATTCACTATTTTTGTTTAAATGATAGAAACTGAATGTTAAGTTTATTCCATCTTCATGCCTGCAGACACTGCAGGGCAGGGTGGGTAAACAAGGCAAATAAGGCAAACTCTTCTCCCCCATTTTACCACATGCAACATTTTGGCATTTTTATGATATGCAGGTTGACTCAATTCATTGACTTGGTTTGAAAGCTGGCAACAGTAAGGTAGGATCTCTGTGAGGTGGGATCTTCCTCCATAGCTACTCCAAATATCCTAATCCCGGGAGGATTCACTGGGAGCTCTGAAATGATGTTCACTGCAACATTCTTGAAACTTTCACATCTTGAACCGACACCTTTTGTCAGGGTAGGGAACTATCTGTTAAAAACCTTCTTAGCCAACCCAAGCCACCAGCAATCTTAACCACTAAGTTACTATAAGAAAATGAACTTCCCAAGCATTAATCGAAACTTGTGCCATATCCCTTTTCAGGATATTAACGCTCTGAAGGGAAAAGAGGTCCTCACCCACTGCTTCCGTGAACAGTGACTCTCCTACAGTATAGTGTACCTAATGTCCAGAGCATAACCAAACAAGTGGGGCAACCCCCATCTCTTGACTAGGTTATCAGTACTTACACACAAGGTATATTTAAAGCTGATCCCAAATCAACTATTGCAGTCATAATCCCAAGAAATAGTTCAGTTTTAGCACATCGAGTTCCTGCAAGATGCCAGATAGAGGGAGAAACCACTTCAAAACAAAGAGTGATGGTTCATCACCTTTTACAAGTGAGAGGAAAACAACAAGGAGGGACTAAAACTTCTCCCTCCTAAACTCATCAATGGCTGTCTTCACAGCTTTAATTGACAAAATCCAGAGTCCTCCATTTCCCCATTTCTAGAGCCCATTTTCAAGGTGAAGAAAAGCTCTGACGTCATCCCGTTAGCTGTCTTTTCACGACCGTATTCCTGATTCTCAGCTCTCCTTTAGAGACACAGCTAGGTGTGTTCACGTCAAAGCCTCCTCTAAAAACACTCAAGCTCAAATTTCTAGTAGGGGGCTGAAAGTAGGCTCGGGAGCGGAGTGATGGGAGAGGAGTGGAGGCGGTGGAGGAGGGCTTTGCAGGCGAGGAAACAGCCAGGAAACTATCATAAACAACTAATACTGCCTGTGACACCCAGTAGGAGTCGATACGTGTTGGCGCCACCGCTTTAATTCTTTCCCAAGAGGTTTTGGCTCAGGAGGGGAGGAGAACCGTGAGGGTCGGCGGGACTTCTTAGCCTGAAATGCAACCGGGGCAGCTGGAGGAGGAGGCTGCCAGGGTTTCATCTGCACGCCTTGGGGGCGGACCCTGGCGGCAACCCTCATCTGCCGGGATTCTGCGACCGAGTTCTGTTGCCCAGTGGGCCCGGGGCAAGGATGTGGGCGCAAATCCTGTTTCCAGGCGGCCCCTAACCCCCCGTGACCTCGGTGCGCAATCAGTACAAAAGTAAACCTGCCGGACGGAGTCGGCCCGGAGATCCGTCACATGGATTCAACCCCGCCAGCAGCGACGCCGCCCGCCTACCCAGTGCGCTGTAGGCCGCGGGCCGTCTGCCACCGCCCGGTCCTGCTCTCCCGGCCCCGCCCGGCTGGCCACGCCCTCGCCGTGATTGGCCGAGCCTCAGGGCCGGGTCGCGTCACGATTGGCCGGGACTCCGGGTCGCTGGTCTCGGGCGCGCGCCACGTGTACGTAGGGGCGGGCCGGAAGGCGAAGACTCCAGCTGACTCGGCCTGGCCGCGCGGCTTGGCGGCGGCCATGGAGCGGGACGGGCAGCTGCTGTCCGCGCGGCCGGCCCTGGAGACAGAGGGGTTGCGCTACCTGCACGTCACGGGTGAGTCGGGCCGCGGGCCACGGGCTCGTACCGCCAGCTCCCCCGGGCGCCGCCATGTTCGGTGCGTTGTCCTCTGCTGCGTGCCCGGCCGGGCCTGGGGAGGCCTGGGGAGGCCTGGCCGGCAGCCGGGCGGCGCCGCACGCAGGTCCGGGAGGAGGGCCTGGAACGCGCGCGGAGGCCCTCCCGGAGCCGCACTTCTCCGGGCGGCGCCGTCGGGCCCTTTTTTGCGTGAATCCTTTACTTTATGCGAAGCAAGCCCCTCTGGGTTGCGGAGACTGAGGCCACTCGGCCCTGGACATTTTCCTCCAGGCCTCGCGTCACCCTCCCACTACATACCCGGCGCTGTGTCGGCCCCCACGGCCACCCCTTTCTATAAGTTCCTGAGGTCTGAAAGGCCTCTGCCCTCCTGAGTTGGATAAACTTCCCTTCACCCATCAAAACCCGCTTTGCGGCGCCCTCCATCCTCCGGACTTGCCCCTCAACTCCCCGGATGGTTGAGAAGTCCCTTCTCGGTGACCCCTGAATTGTGCTCGCTTCTATTTTAACTGCCTACTTAGAAGGCCGTTTCCGCGGCTAGACCCGGAGGGTTTTGAGGGCAGGAGCTACGCTTCCTTTGCCTTCGTTGAATTTTATGGACAAGTCTAGTAGTGGTATGACTCAGTTTCCTGAAAACTGTTTTCTCCTTTTCAGTGGGCTCCCTGCTAGCCACTTACGGCTGGTACATCGTCTTCAGCTGCATCCTTCTCTACGTGGTGTTTCAGAAGCTTTCCACCCGGCTGAGGGCCTTGCGACAGAGGCAGCTGGACCGAGCTGCGGCTGCCGTGGGTTAGTGCCTGGTAACAGAAGAGAAGACAGTGGCTTTACGCCTATTTCTTGTAGTATTTAAAAGTTAGTCTGTTAGGAAGAGTAGGAAGTTCATGATTCTGATCTGTATGAAAGGAAAGCCATTTTATGCTTCTGGAATTGATTTTGGGGAATGTGCAACAGCTTTTTTTTTTTTTTTTTAATTTCAGAGATTTTAATGAGATGGAAAACCTGCTTCATGGTGTGTAGAGCACTCACTGCATATCTTGTGAAATGGTTTTTCATTTATAGGATGGATTGAAAGGAAAACTTCACAGCTTCTCCATACTTGTGGGTCTGCCTGTTGCATCTCTAGAACCATTGCGAGTGACAAGAAACTCAGCCTTGGTTCTTTATATCCACCACATTTTGAGTTTCACAACTTCCTCATCAGATCTGATTTCAAATTACTCTTGGTTGTTTGGAAAACATAGTCCCTCTGAAACAGTAGCCTTTTCGTTAGGTAGAAACTAGTTTCTGAGGATTATCTAAAAGAAATGTCAAGCGTTTTGAGAATGGCAGCTCAATTAAATACAAATCATTCTTGGGGCGCCTGGGTGGCTCAGTTGGTTGGGCGACTGCCTTCGGCTCAGGTCATGATCCTGGAGTCCCGGGATTGAGCCCCGCATGAGGCTCCCTGCTCAGCAGGGAGTCTGTCTCTCCCTCTCCATCTGTCTCTGCCCCCCTCATGCTCTCTCTTGCTCTCTCTCTCTTGCTCTCTCTCAAATAAATAAAATCTTAAAAAAATCATTCAAGGTCCTACTGAATTAGGGTGGGCCCTAATCCAATGTGATTGTGTACCAGTCTGCTAGGGCTGCCCTAACAAACACCATAGGCTGGGTAACTTCACAGGAATTTCTTCTCTCACAATTCTGGAGACTGGAAGTCAAAGGTGTCTGCAGGCTTGCTTTCCTCCCATCTCAGAGATGGCCACCCTCGTGCCTCTTCACGTGGTCTTTTCTCTGTGGATGTGCATCCTTTCTTTATCTGTGTGTCCCGATCTCTTCTTTTAAAGAGACCAGTCGGGTTGGATTAGGGCCCACCCTAAGGCCTCATTTTAATGTAATTATGTCTTTAAAGACCTTCTCTCCAAATGCAGTCATATTCTGAGGTACTGGAGGTTAAGGCTCCAACATGACTTCTGGGGAACACAATTCAGTTCATAGCAATTGGTGTCCTTATAAGAAGAGGAGACAGAAAGACAAGGATCCTCCCCTAGGGGCATTGGAGAGAGCACGGCCATGCCCACACTTCAGTTTTGGACTCTACCTTTAGAGCTGTAAAGAGAATAAAACCCAGTTTGTGGCTATTTGTTACGGCGGCCAGAGGAAGTTAATACAGTGGCCTATGGTGCACCCCTTAATGATGCCCTCCAGAGGTGGGCCTGAGGACATCCCTGCATCGACACATTAAAAATGGTGCTCATGAGGAGGCCTCAGTGTTCATCCCTGTCAAGGATAGAGATAGTGAGAGTGCTGAGTAATTTCTGTTTACCCCTCCCTACCCACTCTCCATCCCATTCTTGCCCAAAGGGGCTGACCCTGTATGAGCTGCAGGGAGTCATCACCCGCAGTCCATTCAGGCCAGCATCTGGGGGTGCTGACTCCAGGCCACTTTGACCACAGGCTTCAGATAAGGAGTCTAGCAGATTTGAACACCATTCCCAAGGGCTCCAGCCAACACATTAAACCTTGGATTCCATTTTGAGAAGTTTGGCTCCAGCGATCCTTTTATAATTCATTGTCCTTCTGACACCCTTGGAGTCCATTACGGTGATTCTTCCCAGACTCCTGCCAGCACAGATAGACAAGGTCCTGCCACACATTTCCATGTATAGCTCTGCCCTCCCACTGCAGGCCTGGTAACTTCCGTCTGGGTTATGTTGGGATCAACCTCTTCCTGGGGCCTGGTGGGCCCTGAGGAGGGTGAGGGGTGAGTCCTGAGGCTGTAATGTCCCAGGTGTGTTCTTGGAATGATGTTCCTGCAGGGGAGGCTGGCTGGGGCTGAGGCAAAGGGATTTAGAGGTCAAAGTTTTCAGCCTCCTCTGTGTCAGCACATAGCTCAGGGTCCCACTCTTTCCCATCAGTGCCCTTAGCATGAGAGACCAGACAGGGCTGAGCAATTTTTTTAATTGGCAGTGCAACTCCGCAAGCCCTGCAGTCAGGCCCTGGACAGCCATTTCTCTCCTGCAATCACAGACAATGCAGGAATTCCATCAGGGCTTTCTCATTTCCCACTTGGGTTCGGCATTGACCATAAATAACTATCTTTAGTTTGTCCTTCTCCCTGTCCTCCCTATATACTCGGGGGCCATCAGAAGTGGCGAGGTGACCTCACTGTCTTTCCAGTCCCCCCCCCCTTTTTTTTTTGCCACAGGGACTGTTTCTCAGGCCTTGGAGCTCCTATTGCTTTGCTCTGCTCTCCTATGACGTTACCAGTGACACCTTGAATGACTGAGATGCCCCTACATGCGTGGCTTACCAGTGTCCCATTGCTCACTCCTTCAGGCTGGGAGCAGTGCAGCATTATCCCCAGTCCCATTCTGAGGATCTGTTTCCCAGACCCACTCCCAGGACATTCACTGTAGGTAGCAGACAGGGTCTTGGCTAGAAATGAATGGCCTGCATGAAGTGGGTAATCAAGAAGAGCCTAACAAAGGGACTGCATTACAAAAGCATGGCAGCGTTTAGGGAGCTGAAGAAGGGAGGATTTGGTGGCCCAGGGCTGGCAACACTCCGGAGGTCATTGTCACCACCAGGCCTGAGACAGCAAGGGAGAGTACAGAGCTGGAGCCTTCCATAGAGCTAGGGGGCCATCCCGTGGTGCGTTGGCTGGGGGCCCAGATAGTGAGGCCTGTAACCATGTGCTGCAAATGCTCTCTGGCTCTGGGGTGGTTTACAGTAAAGGATATGTGAACAGTGAGGTTAATAAAAGAGCCATATAAAACGACGACAAAGAAAGGAGGAAAAAGACCTCATATAGTTCCTGTTATTGAGCATTTAATTTCGTTCCGAGTGTCTCAGTAGCCAAGGCAAACCGGGAACCACAAGTTGTTTGCTTCTCATTACTAGAAAAAAGAGAGATGCCAGGCATTTTGAGGGGAGAGAGTTTATCCCGGCACTAAAGTGTAAGACAGATTTCAGATATAGGACTTGAACAGAAGAAAAGCAAATGCTAGATAGAAGACATAATAAATGTGCCTAAGAACAGGCGTACAGTAAATTCAAATGTGGTTTTCAAAAACAAACCCAGAATGCTGGTCTTTCTTCTAAAGACAAACAGGAAAAGTCAAGGGTATCACATTAATGCATAATTCAGTGGAGGCAATATTTGTAATGGGTCAAGCCCAGGATGGCCAGTAGGCTTCATCTGGTATTGGTAGGTAGTAGCTACCTGGGGCTTTTTGCGTTGAGAATCACCTCGCTCAGAGGGCTGTGGTGGATTAGACGCTACCACAGGCAGGGGGGCAGGGAATGGAGGTACGAGGAGAGGAAATCTGCCAACCTTGGCCTAAGTTGATATGGGCCACTGGTCACATTTGCTCTTAGAATCTACAATGCCCAGCAGAGTGATGGATAGCTTATCCTTTTATTTCAGCGATTTTCAGTCTTCCATCGCCTTCACCTCAGCATTGCTTTGCCTGCAGCCCTCATGAGCATGCCCAGGGTCACCCACAGTCCCCAGCAGAGCGGTTGTTACTATGTGCCTTCTGCACTCACCCCAGAAACCAGAAGTGAATGAGGTGCTGGCACAGTAAGGAGAATGCCGTATCTATCTTAATTTCTATTTTTACAAGTAAATTTGCAGATTCTGCGTTTTAGGTCATGCTTAGAAAGGCTTTTTCTACTCTAAGATTCCCTCATTCTCCTGGTACTTCTTTTAAACCTTGGATCAAAGGTTTGTTATTTGGAATTTACTTTGGTATAAAAAGGAAGAATGTGGATCCAACTTTTTTTTTTTTTCCAAATTGCTATACAGTTGTTCCGTCTTTCCTTCATTTTTATAATATACCAAGTCCCCACATATATCCGGGTTTAGTTTGGTCGCCGTTCTGTTCTGTGGACATCTATCTATGCCTTCAAAGTAGGGGTTGAATTGAGTCCATTCCCTTCCACTCCGCCAAAAGATATGTTAGAGTTAGAACCCACAGGACTTCAGAATATGACCTTATTTTTACATGGGGTAATTGCAGATATAATTGGCTAAGATGAGATCATGCTGGAGTAGGGTGGGTCTCTAACCCAATATGACAGGTGTCCTCAAAAGAGGGAAATTTAGATGCACACACGAGACACACAGGGAGAATGCCATGTGTTGACAGGGGTGGAGATTGGAGTGATATAACCACAAGCCAAGGAGCACCAAAATTGACAGCCACCACCAGAAGGTAGGAGGCAAGAAGGGATTCAATCCAGAGTCTCAGAGGGATCAGGGCCTGCCGACACCTTGATTTCACACTTCTAGCCTCTAGAACTGAGAGAGAATTAATTTCTCTTGTTTTAAGTCACCCAGTTTGGGGTAATTTATTATAAATTTAATTAATATAGCTTTGTAATATTTTAAAATGTGTAATGGGTACAGTCACCACTTGTTAAACTTTTATGGAGTTTTTTTCTGATTATTTAGGCATTTTTAATTTTTCCATGCAAACTTTAGAAACAGCTTGTCTACTTTCAAAGAAAGGAAGAAAGGGAGGGAGGGGAGAAGAGATGGAGGGAGGGAGGACGGAAGGAAGAAAGAAAAAAAAGAAAAAAAAAGGAAAGAGAAAAGAAAAAAAAGAAAAGGAAGGAAGGAGGGAAGGAGGAAGGAAGGAAGAAGAAAGACTCACTGGTATTTTTATTGGGTTTATATTCATTTTTTTAAACTAATTTTGTGAGCATCAACATCTTTATACTATGGAATCTTTATGTCTAAAGGCAAGATTAATAAATATGGCCACATAAGAATAAAACATTTCTGTGGCTAAAACAACCACAAAGTGAAAGGACAAATTAGCAAAGAATATTTGCAAACCACAAACCAATAAAAAGAAGGCTAACAGATCATTAGAAAAAATGCACTAAGAACACAAATGGTAATGTTCAACCTCACCCATATAAAAGGAATGCAAGGAGATATCTTTGTTTTCCTTCTTTTTTCCTCCTATCAAACTGGCAAATGGAAAGAAACTGAATAACTTAAAGAAGCTTAATATATTGGCTAGGGTATGGGGAACCAGACACTCTCAAATCTCATGCACTGTTGATGGTCATGTATTTTAGTACAACCTCTACAGAAGGCAATCTGGATATATCAGAATGTTAAATGAACACTATTTTTTTAAAGATTTATTTATTTATTTTAGAGAGAGAGGGAGAGAGCTTGAGTGGGGGGAGGGGCAGAGGGAGAGAATCTCAAGCAGACTCCCTGCTGAGCACAGAGCCCCACACAGGGCTCGATCTCATGACCCATGAGATCATGACCTGAGCCAAAATCAGGAGTCAGACACTTAACCAACTGAGCCACCCAGGCGCCCCTGGACATACTCTTTAAATCAGCAGTTCCTCTTCTAGAAATGTATCCTAAAATACATTCACACAAACGGTGTGTAAATAATATTCTTGGGTACATAGTACAAAAGAGTGGTATATCTAATATTAGTACACAAATTATGGAATATCTACACAACAGAATACTAAGTAGCTGCAACTGTAAATGAGTCTGTAAGTAGGGCTACAGAATGATTTATATTAAGGGAAAAAAGTGGGTTGCAGAACGACATGTATAGGTTGCTGACACTGAGTTTAAAAAGGGGGATCATGTATGTACACACAGCTGTACACAGCTGTATGCACACACCTGTATACACACACCTGTA